TGAATCTGGCCCCTGGTTACTAAAAATGGTGAGTGGTTCATATGCAGCACTTCGCTTATGTCTAATCTTTCATTCTCAACATATTTGTTAATAATTTTGATATTGCTGGTCTAGTGTTATCGTGACTGAAATCTCTTGATCAGGAATGCCATGTTTTCAGTGATCACAGGTCAGTAAGAGTTTTCTGAGGGCAAGTAAGATGTTAGTGTTTACGTTTTTCACATGTAACAAAACATACAGTGGCTCGTCATATATTGTGTCAACGTAAAAATAAGCAGTGAACAACAAACACCTGAGTGAAAATCGAAATATATTGCTAAAATAATACATTGTAAAAACTTTGATAACTAATATCCGAAGATTAGCTACTGTTGATCTCGATTACGAAACCAGTCTTCCACCAATAAGATAAGTCTCAAACCCTTTTTATACCGGTCTTGAACCCATAAGTCTTCAGTCTCATACTGCCAGTTAAGATTCACTGCGCTTAGTGGTTCCTTCTTCATAATAGGAATTATTATAATGGAAAACTAATATCCTATAGGTTGTTTTCTTCTAATGAAGCGAAATACAGAAATAGAGAGAGAGAGAGAGAGAGAGAGAGAGAGTGAGAGAGAGAGAGAGAGAGAGAGAGAGAGAGAGATAAATACACGCACAAAATAACAAACTAGAGAGGCAAAGCAACAAAACAAGATAAAGACACAGATAAAAGGAAGACACCAGCTTCGCGTGGTGGAGGTTGTGTGTGTGTGTGTGTGTGTGTGTGTGTGTGTGTGTGTGTGTGTGTGTGTGTGTGTGTGTGGTGTGTCCTCACACACTCGGGTCCCCGTGCTGCTAAATGGTAACTTCACACAAGAAAACTTTTAATAATATTTTACTGACACGGCTAAAGTTTTCTATTAATGTTTTCATCGGTCTTTCTGGATAAGGTGACTATATTTTTATTTCCTTTGGCATTTCAAATTGAATGTGATATACATATATAAATTCATTTAGTTTTTAAATTACAGAATATTGGGAATATATTATTTAAGCGGAATATAATTTAATGGAATATTACATGATACGAATATATTAGGTAATGGGAATATATTATATAATGGGTATATTCTACGTAATGGGTATATTCTACGTAATGGGTATATTCTACGTAATGGGTATATTCTACGTAATGGGTATATTCTACGTAATGGGTATATTCTACGTAATGGGTATATTCTACGTAATGGGTATATTCTACGTAATGGGTATATTCTACGTAATGGGTATATTCTACGTAATGGGTATATTCTACGTAATGGGTATATTCTACGTAATGGGTATATTCTACGTAATGGGTATATTCTACGTAATGGGTATATATTATATAATTGGTATATTTTACGTAAGGGGTAGTATGTTATGTATGGATATATATACCAGGGGTGGGCAACCTTTTTGAGAGTGCGCGCCAAAATCAGCCAAGTCCCTGACACAAACTTTTTCCACGTGCCAACCATATTTTTTTAGAATATATTTGGTATCTCTTAAGAACTTCTTTTTCCGCATTTCTCTTTGTTACTTTCATCTCTAATCTCTCTCTTTCAATATTTTCCAAGTCAACTCTAAGGTCAACAAATTTCTGCTTCCAAATTAAGCTACTCTGAAATTCAATCAACTGCATCTCAAAATCATCCATGTCTATCCATGAAAACATTTGCAAGTTTAGTTCATCCATTTTGATGCTGTCTGGAAACTTGAAGAACTTTACTGTGTCTTCCAGTTCTCTGAATTTGGCAAATCTTGTAGAGAACTGCCAAACTGTTGACTCGATAATGTTTACAAACAGCTTTTGAAGACATTTGTGGTCTGTTCTGTCATCTTTTAGATCACTGATGTACCTCTTTAGGTTTGGAAAGTATCTAAATCTCTCATTATCTACATCCCTCTTAAAAACTTTAAGCTTCATTTCAAAAGCTTTTATGTAACCAAACATAACATCAAGTGTCTTACCAGAGCCCTGTAACTTAATATTCAATTCATTTAAATGTTCACAAAAATCTGCAAAAACCATCAGTTTACAAACCCACACGACGTCAGAAAATTCCTGGTGACACTTGTTGGTCGTTCAAATAGAGCTTCATCTCATCTAGGCATTCAATAAATCGTTTCAGAACCAAGCCTCTGCTAAGCCAACGAACATGGTTGTACATTTTCAGTCCTTTATACACAGATTCTACCTCATCCAGTAGAGTTTGAAATTGTCTTTTATTTAAAGGCCGACCACAAATGTAATTAACAACCTTGGTAACTGTTTGCATCACTTCTTGCAGTTCCTTTAGGCCAGCTTTTGCACATAAAGCCTCCTCATGTATGATGCAATGGAAGCCAATCAGTGGATGACCAACACTTTTTTCAAAAAGATTTACAAATCCTGCCTTCTCACCAGTCATGTTTGGGGCACCATCTGTTGTGACGGATACTACTTTTGAAATGCCAATTTGCCGAGTAGAGAATTCGTTCACAACTGTTTACATATTTCAGCTCCGGTAGTACGCTCAGGTAGTGATGCAAGAGCAACCATCTCTTCACATACTTCATCACCCCTACAAAATCTAGAATATATGGCTAGCCTAGCTGATGATGTAATGTCTGTACTTTCATCAACACAAATAGAAAAAAACTTGCATGAAGACAAATCTTTTGTCAATTGTTCAGCTGTATTTCTTTCCAACTTAAGTATCCTATCCTTAACTGTTTTCCTACTCACAGGCAAATCTTTAATGCGCTGAATAATCTTTTTCTTTTCTGAAAAGTTGTCAAAAAGAAAAGGTGCACATTCTAGCCAAGCCTCTTTAATATACTCCCCATCACAGAGAGGCTTTCCGTGTTGGGCAATAACTTTTGAAACTTCAAAACTAGCAGCAACTAAGTTGGAACTGGGCCTTCCTGAAATATAATTCATAAAAGTTTCAGCTTGTGTTTTTGCCTTGCTCAGTTCACGAGAAATTAGTTCTCTTTGTTCCTCCTCAGTTTTATTGCTTAAGTTCTTATGACCATTTTCAAAATGTCTCTTTACAGAAGAAGTTCTACAAACAACTATGTCAGAACAGAAAATGCATAAAGCTTTATCATCCTTCTTAATCATGCCAAACTTTTCAGTCCAGTATGTGTTTGTGTGGTGTGTTGTGGCGAAACATCGTTGAGTCGGTGACATCTTGCTTATGTCAGCTCTGTTCTTAGGGAGCAGGCGAGCGAGTACGTGTGAATTTAAGGATTAAGACTATTCTTACAATGATATTGAGTTTCACAAAGTTATTGATTTATAAGGGGAATAATTTTCACCTGGAGATGAAGTACTGACCTTCTTCTCGGGGAGGAGGCAAGTGAGCAACTGTGAGAAACACTACGAAGCAAGACTGCGAGAGAGAGTTATGAGTCTGAGATCGTCTGAACATGTGTTCATTACGGGGACTTCATGGGGGTGGGGGACTGTTGATTTCACTGGTTATATTACGGCCGTCAATGGAGAGAAGGGGGAAGCATAAGAATTCTTATCTTTCTTTAGCTTTCGAAGGTGAAGATGCTTTAGATTTAGAGAGTAAAGTGAGTTTAATTAATATGCGTCAAACTGAAGTCTGGCGGCATTCAAACACATGAGGTTTAGGGGGGGGGGGGAGATGTTGTGGGGGTTTAAATTCAAAGTTTACAAAATTAATTTTTAAAGGTTGGCAGGCATGGCGTATATTGCCTTCACAGATATGATTGTCAGTGTACACTATGGTTATGGGTGCAGCCTTTAGGTTAGAAAGGCTTATTACATAAAAAATGAGCCAAAGTAAATAGAGGGGAATCATCATACATCGTCATGATCGATGACGTAAAAAAAGAAGATAACTATGGCAACAAGATCAACTTCTTTTTCTTGAGACCTCTTTAGCTTCGTAGAGCTTAAACCTCTTTACCACCAGGACGTACATATACTGTCATGGCATGTAAGCTTATACCCCAAGGAAAGTTTTTTTTTTTGTCTGTGCTTAGGGTAACATGTGCTTGCATCTGTGCTTAGGGTAACATGTGTTTGCATTTGTGCTTAGGGTAACATGTGCTTGCATCTGTGCTTAGGGTAACATGTGCTTGCATCTGTGCTTAGGGTAACCTATGCTCTTGTGTGCCAGAGACAATCATCGGCGTGCCAAGTTTGGCACGCGTGCCAGAGGTTGCCCACCCCTGATATATACTGTGTGTAATCTTCCTTAATTATTTGTATATTATGTGGCTTCGAGCAGCCCCGTCCAACAGCCAGGTTGACCAGTCCAGCAATAAAGAGACCTGGTCGAGGACCGGGCCGCGGAGACGTTGAGCCCCGAAATCATCGCAAGGTAACAACAAGGTCACCAAAACAACAACAAATCTAACAGAGGTCGTCACGGATAACTACCAGAAGAGGAAATATAGAGGTTTGAGGCGAGGCAGAGATAGACTTTATCAAATATGTCAGATGTTCACATTAATAACTTCTTAAGAAGGGAAGACAACGACACGTGTAGATGGATCACAGACAAACATTTAAGGCATAAAAAAAGTGTCAGCAATTCATCATATTTTTTTACAATGATTTAGCAAGTGGTAATTAAATAATGAAATATCAAAATTGCATTCTATTGTACTGCCTAAATTTGTGGCTGATGATTCAATGGTATTTCTTAAATGTTGCTGTCATGAGTTTACCATCCTTAAAGTTAATGAGGTGTTCGTTGTTGTCATGAGTTTACCATCCTTAAAGTTAATGAGGTGTTCGTTGTTGTCATGAGTTTACCATCCTTAAAGTTAATGAGGTGGTCGTTGTTGTCATGAGTTTACCATCCTTAAAGTTAATGAGGTGTTCGTTGTTGTCATGAGTTTACCATCCTTAAAGTTAATGAGGTGTTCGTTGCTGTCATGAGTTTACCATCCTTAAAGTTAATGAGGTGTTCGTTGCTGTCATGAGTTTACCATCCTTAAAGTTAATGAGGTGTTCGTTGCTGTCATGAGTTTACCATCCTTAAAGTTAATGAGGTGTTCGTTGCTGTCATGAGTTTACCATCCTTAAAGTTAATGAGGTGGTCGTTGTTGTCATGAGTTTACCATCCTTAAAGTTAATGAGGTGTTCGTTGTTGTCATGAGTTTACCATCCTTAAAGTTAATGGGGTGTTCGTTGTTGTCATGAGTTTACCATCCTTAAAGTTAATGGGGTGTTCGTTGCTGTCATGAGTTTACCATCCTTAAAGTTAATGAGGTGTTCGTTGTTTTCATGAGTTTACCATTCTTAAAGTTAATGAGGTGGTCGTTGTTGTCATGAGTTTACCATCCTTTTAAGTTAATGAGGTGGTCGTTGTTGTCGTGAGTTTACCATCCTTAAAGTTAATGAGGTGGTCGTTGTTGTCATGAGTTTACCATCCTTAAAGTTAATGAGGTGTTCGTTGCTGTCATGAGTTTACCATCCTTAAAGTTAATGAGGTGGTCGTTGTTGTCATGAGTTTACCATCCTTAAAGTTAATGAGGTGTTCGTTGCTGTCATGAGTTTACCATCCTTAAAGTTAATGAGGTGGTCGTTGTTGTCATGAGTTTACCATCCTTAAAGTTAATGAGGTGTTCGTTGCTGTCATGAGTTTACCATCCTTAAAGTTAATGAGGTGTTCGTTGTTGTCATGAGTTTACCATCCTTAAAGTTAATGAGGTGTTCGTTGCTGTCATGAGTTTACCATCCTTAAAGTTAATGAGGTGGTCGTTGTTGTCATGAGTTTACCATCCTTAAAGTTAATGAGGTGTTCGTTGCTGTCATGAGTTTACCATCCTTAAAGTTAATGAGGTGGTCGTTGTTGTCATGAGTTTACCATCCTTAAAGTTAATGAGGTGTTCGTTGCTGTCATGAGTTTACCATCCTTAAAGTTAATGAGGTGTTCGTTGCTGTCATGAGTTTACCATCCTTAAAGTTAATGAGGTGTTCGTTGTTGTCATGAGTTTACCATCCTTAAAGTTAATGAGGTGTTCGTTGCTGTCATGAGTTTACCATCCTTAAAGTTAATGAGGTGTTCGTTGCTGTCATGAGTTTACCATCCTTAAAGTTAACGAGGTGTTCGTTGTTGTCATGAGTTTACCATCCTTAAAGTTAATGAGGTGGTCGTTGTTGTCATGAGTTTACCATCCTTAAAGTTAATGAGGTGGTCGTTGTTGTCATGAGTTTACCATCGTAAGAGATATATGTGGTTCTTGTGAGTGACACACGCGGTGCTGGTCGCTTCCAGACGACACACAAGTTGTTAATATTCATGAATGTTTAGATCAAGTGCCGAGTGTGATACATATGTGTACTTTGATACAGCTACTGCACAGAAATTGTCTGGAGCATACCTGGAGCATACCTGGAACACACCTGGAGCATACCTGGAGCATACCTGGAACACACCTGGAGCACACCTGGAGCATACCTGGAGCACACCTAGAGCACACCTGGAGCATACCTGGAGCATACCTGGAGCATACCTGGAGCATACCTGGAACACACCTGGAGCATACCTGGAGCATACCTGGAACACACCTGGAGCACACCTGGAGCATACCTGGACCATACCTGGAACACACCTGGAGCTTACCTGGAGCACACCTGGAGCACACCTGGAGCATACCTGGAGCATACCTGGAGCATACCTGGAGCATACCTGGAGAGGGTTCTGGGAGTTCTTTTACTCCCCGAGCCTGACGTGAGGCGAGGCTGGACTTGTAATAACCTGGTCCAACAAGTTGCAAGAGTTTGTGATGTTGCTCGTCCCTACAGTCCGATGGACGAACCATAATTTGTTTCAGTTAGACACTTGTGCAGGTCAAGATCTGTTTCGTCCAGTGTGTGGTACACGAGGAGTCCATGATGTATTAATATGAGGTATTTCCAGGTAAAAATTGTCTAGATCACATAAATTGTAAAAAATGGGTATGATAAATTCTTTTAAAATTTAAAACTGAAAATGTGTAGTTATTTTTGGTGTTTTATACACCTGTGAGTTCGATAAGGTTGCTTTATGACAGACGATGGTCGAAGTTGTCTTAGGGTAATTTGTTGTTAGGGTAATATTTGTTGACATCGTCATGAGGCCTTGACAATTGGAGAACGATTAACAACAGCCATCAACTTCGTTAAAAGGAGAACATACAACAGCGAGGTCTCTAAGACATTGGTGTAGACAATCACTCTGACACAATACTCCGAAGTGATTGTTCTCGTTTACGTCACGGGATTGCGTCATTTTAATTAAGGTCGTCCTCTCAGGTATTGTGTGCAAGTGAAGCATTATTGTTACCTGCAAAAGGTGACGAGAAACGGACTTCCAGATGGAGTGTATCCTCAACATAGTCACCAACACAGTATGCCAACTATTATCAGAAAATATTATTCCTTATCGTATTTTGAAGAATATGTTTTTACCTGAGTAAAGCTCGAGTAAAGATTCACATATATAAATTAAAAATAATTTATTTACAAGAACTATCTAAACTAGTACAGAACACAGGAATAATGTTGGAAATTTCCAACACTAATACAATACTATTGTATTTTAATAAATCAGTATTATTATATACTAACTACAGTAGTCACTAAAGCTTACTAAAAGTAATGTTCACATAAACTAACCATTGTATCTACGTATGGATGCTGGAATTCTTACGAAACCAAGCACCAGTATTGCGTCAGATTATATCTAGTTAAACACATTTATTGCCCGTGTGCTAGAGAATTGAATGTGGTTCTCTAAAATCATCAATATTCCGTGTGATAATTATTTACGGATAACATAACACCCAAATAATTCTAAATCGAGAGTTTTTAGTTACAATTGTTACAAGTAATAGTTTTTCTGTCACGCGTGAATGCCATGGAGAAAACTATAATGTTCTCCATTTCTCGTTTACCACCATAAGACGAGAAAGCAATAATATTTAAATCCCTAGAATCACAACCCAGTCTTTATTAAAGTATTTGAACCACAATTGCGCGAAATAGTATTATTCGTGATAAATAATTTCTGTGGTGAATGCGGGACGCAAGATGAGGAGAAGAAGACGCCATTGTGTGTGTGGCGGTAGCTCGTGTTGCGGAGTGAGCAGCGAGCACACGTACTTGAACAGGAAAGTCGTCGCATCAGAGTCTGAGATACGTGACGTTGGGATTATCAGCAAAAA